ACTCCAGTATATTTTATTTAAAAAAAACCCCACCTACATAACTATCAATAAGGGAGCAGTTAAATTGATTTTCATATTACTGTGAAAGCGTGTCTAAGATGTATTAATAAAAAGCAAATGGGAGAAAATAGGATGGTCATGTATATATTTAAAGGATATATACAACTAAGCACAGTTTATATATAAATTCTGGAAAGATAATGAGAAAAAAACCCAAAACATTTAACACTGGTTACCACTGGAGCATGAAAAATCTTTTAGGAAATGGTGGAGAGGAATAGTGCTTCCAATTTATATGCTTTATAGGTTTACATTTTTACTATGAGTAGTCACATGTACAATTATCCACATACTATAAAACCATTTAAAATAAGAAGTTAAGTAACGAGCATGAGTTGACAAGCTCAAAGTTTATGAGTGATGGATTTGAACCTAGGTCTGATTCTAGATTCATCATATTTATTTCATTCTGGATTTCAAAAACTTTATTCTTGCATACAATTACCAATAATGGACATTCAATAGGTATTCTGCCATTAATTATATAGATTATATATTTTTCCTTAATTTTTAGTAACATGAACTTTCTAATTCTTGCTACCACCATTTAACTGTTTGATAGTGTTTGTAATGTATCTACTATATTGTAGCAAACAGCAAAGCCCCTGCAACTACGGGGTAAACAGACTAGTATAGTGTCTAGCACTGTTAATAATAGTTGCATTTACCTTTTGCATTTAAGATTCTAAGGAACCCTTCTATTGATTATTTAGTCCAGCTGGTATACAGTATTCATGTAGTTCTCAATGGCATTTTTCATAAGAATTCTTCTTTGTTGAATTAATAACAAAAAAATAAAAAGGGGGGAAAAAAGAATTCCTCTTCGTGCAGGGCTGCCTATGCACAATACACACTTAAAATCCTTAACCTCTATTCACTAGATTTTGGCAGTTTTTTTCACACTGCCACCTGTCAAGTAAAAGTGACATCTGAAAACATTTCCTTGGTTAAGAATCACTATAAGATGTCCTACTTTGTTAGGCAGAGGTGAGAGTGCCTCAGCTGTTTTAGAACACTGACAGCATAAGGGTATTCCCAGTCCACTATCTGCTTCAACAGATTCCCAACAATAAGAGCTGTCCCACCCAGAAATTTCTCAAGGGGATAGGTGGGTAGTATTCTGCACTCTCTGGCATATATTATTGATGCTGCAGGCAAACTCAGTTATTTTAAATATTTTTTAAAATGTCCCTTAAAATAAAACATCTCTATTCTCACACAAGAAGAGGAGAACCACTTATTTCCTTTTCACTTTTACTCTCATCCACTTCTAATTGTCAGAGAAAGGAAAATAATAAAACTCTTAAAACTCTTTTCAATATCTGATATGAAAAAGTATTCTAAGTTTCAACTTTATTATCGAGTACTTTAGTTTTAGATTTCTACTATCAACAACCTGTGTGATGGATAAAAAATGAAATCTTCTCTAGAGTTGAAGTTGCTCTCCAGTTCTAATATCCTAACCGTTTCAAAGCCTTGAAAATTATATGAAAATCAATAATGCCCAAGACCTTAAGTGTCTTCCTAAAAAAGCCTACTCACTCTTAAGCAGTTTAAATTGTCAAGAAGTCGGGTAACACACTTCACAAAGATCCTAAGCATAATTTTTAACAATTCCTGGTTAACAACCAGTAGATCACATACCCATCAATTAGCTTAATTGTGAGGAACTTCCCAAGTAACACAGATTCAGAGAATAAATAATGGAAGGAAAAAATAAAGCATTTGTTCTTTTGCACTGAGAATCCTGATAGATGTTACACTTTACATTGAAGAACTACTGAGAAGAAACAATGAGGTTTCCATGAAAACATGCTACCTTAGTTTCTTTTTAAAATAAAATTCCTTTTCCTTAAAACGATTAAATGGATAGATAGCCTACCAAACAGGTTCTTGTCCAGGATAAGACATAGCTGCAACACTTCCAAAAGATGGACAATCCTTAATTTCAGTAATGACTTTCATGTGTGAAGTTCTATATTGCAAGTTACTCTAAAGTGGACATCATCCACTTTCCAGAGCACCTGAGACTCCACAAAGCCAGAAAGTAAGACTTTCTGTAGATTGCACAGATGATTACAGGCTTCCTTAACAGTGGGAATGTTAATTTAAATCTGGCAGTGATATATTTATCACTGTCAATGATATACTTACCACAAAGACAACCACAAGAAAAAGAATTTTCCAAAGAAGGAAAAAAACTTGAGAATAAATTAGGGCATTAACAACCGAACTTAAAACTCATATACTGGAAAGATTCAAAATAGGTCACTTTTTCAAAATAGAATTTTCCAAACTTTAATGTACATACACATCTTAGGAATCTTGTTAAAATCCAAACTGATTAACTGGGTTAATCAGTTGAAGAATGGTTGAAGAATGAGATGCTGTGTTTCTAATAGGCTACCAGAAAATGCCAAGACTACTGATCCATGGATCACACTTGGAGTAACAGACCCTAAACCAGGTGTCCTCAAACTGCGGCCCACCGAGGACATTTGTCTGACCCGCTGGGTGTTTTGCCGCCACTGCCTGTCCTGCTTAGCAGCCGACTCGTCCGGGCCCCCCAGTCCGGTCCTCCAACAGTCTGAGGGACAGTGAACTGGCCCTCTGTTTAAAAAGTTTGAGAACCCCTGAGCCTAGACCATGACTAGGCCAAACATGAAAGAAATGTCTCTTTCTTAAAAGAGAAAACACGAAAGAAATGTACAGTCTCAAAAGAGAAATGTTTCTTTGGTGATATTTTTCCAAAATTTCTTTCTTTTTGGTTTTGTTATTTATCAGAACAGTTTTCATTAGTAAACTTGAGTGGTTTCATTGATTTGGTATCCAACAAAATATAATTCAAATAAAGAAAAATCTTCCTAGATCATAAGCCAGAGAACACAGAAATCTGAAAATAAAAGCATTTCAAATGTTTTTTATTCTAATGTATAAAGAGTCCTGAATAAATTAGGTTCTACATATTCAAACCTGAAAACAAATATTCTGTAAACAAACTAATAAATGATAAATTACTCAATACTATTAAACTAACCCACTGTGAGTCCTCTGTCTTCAGAAAGAATATTTTCTTTGCTCTTCCTTTTAACTTTGAGATTTTTTTTACAATGTAACTAGCAACATTTTAAATAAATTGCTACTCACAACATAAACTTTGTAAAACAAGACTACACACTCTACAAAAGCTGATGCAATAAAAGTTGCTGAAAAAAATCAAGTATATCATCAGGCACATGGTTATCTCTAGATGCTTTTCAAGTCCTTGATTCTCAACTACCTATTTCAAACGCAGGTTCACTCATTCAACAATCATTTATTGACCACCTACTACATGTCAGATACTCTGTTAAATGTTAGAGACAGTTTGAATTGGAAAGTCAGACCTTTCACATACTAGCTTGGACACTTAATGGCAAATTGGGGTTTTATTGTTGTTTTTTATCTCTATCACTTCCTCAGGGTGTCAGTGATAAGCAGATTATATAATAATTAAGGTGCCTAACACTGTGCTTTGTATGTGACAAATAATAATGCTAACTATTTGAAATATGAAGTCTGAGCAAAAAGTGGATCCTGCCTTCAATAAGCCAGTGTTCTACTACACAGCTCTATGTTGAAGGATTGTAAAACAACTTGAAAGTGAGGTAAAGAAAACATGACTGAACAGATAAATCCACTACCAAAACAAAAAGCTAACAATCCCCACAATATAATGAATTCCAGAACTGAAATGTGTTTTGGGTTAGTTTATGAGCTTGTCTAGCACGCATACTAATGTTCTCTTCCACAAAAGAAAATAATAGAGTACAAATAAATAGAGCAAATGTTCCAGCTATGTGGTTTTATGCACCACAGGACCATGATGGGGTATACAACTTAGGACAATTTTAGTGAAGCAGTAATTGCTTGATGCAACAGATGTGCAAGCCATTAGCCACAATTCTCTTCCTACTACCTTCAGAAAGCCTGCCCAATAGTAACCTCTGTTCTTACAAGGTAAAAATTTATGAATCCTACTTATAACAACTAGCCAGAAAAGCAGCCAATTTTGAAAACCAATCAGGCAACAGTGTATAACAAACAGAAGCTATATAGGCAAAGTTAAAAGCCTTGGTATCAATCAGGCCAGGTGTCCCAATTCCACCATTTCTAGCCAGTTATGAGACACTAAGAACGTTTCTGAACTATTTATTAAAAAAAGCTTCAGCTTCTTTACCTGAAAAATGGAGATATCGGTACCCACTTCCTGTATTTGTAAAAATGGTATATGTTAATACAAAGTACTGGGACAAGTTCCAGAAAACAGCAGCCACTCAATAAATGTTCCCTATCTGCTATTATCTATAATGAGAAAACTAAAAGTTCCTCTTTACCTTTGAAGCTAAATCAAAATGCAGAAGTTCTGGGTCTTATAAAGCCTTAAACTTGTAAGTCTGAAAAAGACTAAAAGTGGTGAGAAATAGGAATAAGGCAGTAACATAAACTCTGCACCCAACACCTGATCGTCCCATCCAACTTAACAAGCTCCATCTGTGACGTCCTGTAAGCAAGCAGCACTGGCATGACTAGGACCAGAAGTTTAGTTCTGGAAAGGTTTTAACTGGCAAAGGCAGGCTGCTAAACCGAAAGAAAATGGGGAACAGAAGTTCTGTAGGCACGAATTAAGTGGTGGGCAGCCCTCCAGGCTAGGGTCCCGATCACCCAGCTCCTTCCAGGGAGGCAGCAAAAGCTACTGGGCCTCGCCAGAGTCCCACCATGACGCCCCCGACACGAAGTCGCGGCACACCGAAGGCTGAGTGCCAAGGCCTCGAGTGGCGGCCGCGGGAGCCCAGTGCTCCCGCAGGTACCTCGAGCGGGGCCCGTGCGCCCGGCCGCCTCCACCCGGAGGCCTGAGTCACCGTTCGCGCGGCCGGGAAACCAAGGGGCCAGCCGGTTACCTTCGGCAGGGAACTCCTCGAACTCGTCATCCTCCTCTAAGAGACCCAGGTCTACCGGCTGTTTTTTCTCTGACATCGCGACCTCTGCGCCCAACGCCGCCCGGAACAGTAGGAAAGTTGGAACTCTCACTCGTCCCCAACACGGCCGCCACCGTTGCTGCAGCACCCGCGGTAGGCGCCACCATAGAGACTCGCGGCAAGAACTGCCGGTGCTGCGCGGGGCATGCTGGGATGCCGGAGGTCCTCCCGGCGCTTCCTGAGGGCTTAGCGGTCCTGAGTTAGAAAGGCGGGTTTTTCGTCTTTACCGTTTTGCTCCAACGCTCTTAATTGCTAAAGTTGAGATCAGAGTCGGTTTCTCTGACTGCAAGGGACACATAATGTGTTAAAAAAAATTAAACAGTCTTTACTTAGTTTATCACTGAGGAAGGCAATCTAAGGAGATGAAGTGACTGCATCCTTCAAAGTGCCAGGCCCTTAGCGTACAATATGCTCAGCCTTTAAACCAATTCCCTAGGAATGGTATTAAATATCTCCACATCACAGAAAATTCAGATCGGAAAGAAACAGCCAAAGACACGCAGGTAGTGCTAGACACCTTAAATGCAGATTTGTTTGCCTGATTCCAATCTCCAGTCTTTTACGTTATGCAGTATTTCTCCAGCTTGGAATTGCTTTGTGGTAAATAGCCTGTTAACTAGAATTTGTGTGTATGTGTAGTGTGTGTGTGTGTGTGTTTAGTAACTCTAGTTTACAAGTTATAAAATATGTAAAAAAGGACACGTGTAACATTTTTTATGGGTTCCAAATACTATGTCATTTACAATTTTGTGAAGAGCATTTGAGTGTCATTTTGGATATATTGGTGATCTGTATGGAACTCCATACATAATATATGTGATATATATATATGTATAATGGAGGAATATTATGGAACACATACAAATTGGATATTATCATAAATTTTGATATACATACTTGTTCATATATTTAAATCCTATTTTCTTCGTTCAACATCTTGTAGTTCATATGATCTACCAGGTATTGTGAGTCAAACGTAGATAAAGTCCTTTTCTTAAGGAGCTTGTATTCTACTCAGATATGTAAATAGATGAATCACAATGGAACAGTAATTCATTTGAATCTCCACCTTGAAGTTATGTGAGAAATGAATAAAGTATATGGTAATACAGCGAATGGTGCAACTAAATAGAGAATAAATTTGGATGAGAACTACAATTAAATCTAATATTTTAAGAAGCAATACAGTCATGATATATCATACTATTTTGATTTGTAGGTTGTTTAAAATACTGGTATCTCACTACTAAAAAGTAATATATAAGGTAATGCATATTTTAATTAGTTTGATTTAGCCATTACGCAATATACACCCTGTATATGTATTTCAAAGCATAATGTTATGCACCACAAACATATTTTTGTCAATTAAGACAATTTTTTAAAGAATGCAAAAAATAGAGACTTTGCCTAAACTTCCAGAAAATCAAATTCTAGTTCTTGAACGTATTTTGATTAGTTCACCTGATATATGATAAGATTTGTATCAATCTTTAGCAATAGAAAAAAATTAATAGCAAAATAAATTCACATCTCATTCTCTTCATTTTCTTTCTCTTTTTTTTTTGAGGCAGAGTGTTGCTATGTCGCCCTTGGTAGACTACCATGGCATCACAGCTCACAGCAACCTCCAACTCTGGGCTTATTCTCTTGCCTCAGTCTCCCAAGTAGCTGGGACTATAGGTGCCCACCACAATGCCAGACTGTTTTTCTGTTGCAGGTATCATGGTTGCTTAGCTCATCTGGGCTAGGTTCAAACCCACCAGCCTTGGTGTATGTGGCTGGTGCCGTAACCACTGTGTGTGGGCGCTGAGCCTCTTTTTTTTTAGAGGCAGCGTCTGCCTCTTGAGTAGTTGGAGGACTACATATACACCATGGCACTCAGCTCCTATTTTCCACTCATACTGGTTCATGAAATCCAGAATGCTGGAGCTGAAATACCTTCTCATTTCAATTGTCATGAGACCTAGCACAATGAACAACTTCTTGTTTCAATAGTCATGGCACATAGAAAAACTTTGGAAGATATTTAAGTGTGAGAGCCATTATTGGTTAGTTAAACTAAGCACATAAGAATATGTATTTGTAGACAAGTTTATAAAGCCAAGCGCAATTCCTTCTAAAAAGGGGCTTGGACAAATTAATTTCTCTGTAGTACATTTTGGTCATTTGCAGAGTCAAGATTAAATGAGATTATGTATATAATGTGCATAGCTCAAAGATTGGCATATAATAAGTGATAAATACATGTTAGCTATTATTAAATAAGGAACTTACATTTTAAAATATCTCAGGTTCTTTCTATTGACTCTAAAAGTTAAGAGTGGGTTTTGTTTCTTTAGTGATGATATCTTGCTGATACATTACAAAGAAGTCAGTCCCTCCCCAATTATAATAACTAATAATAAAGTATATATAGTATTTACTTTGTATCAGGCACTAGGCCAAACCCATTTTGTGTATTTTTTTATTTTTATTTTTTGCAGTTTTTGGCTGGGGCTGTGTTTGAACCTGCCACTTCCGGCATATGGGGCCATGGGCCCAGCGCCTTACTCCTTTGAGCCACAGGCGCCACCCCCCATTTTGTGTATTTACTCATTTAATCCTCTTTACAGCACCCCTGTTAAGTGAGTACAACTTAAACTCATTTTGTACTTGAGGAAACTGAGACACAGAGAGATTGCTAATGTGACCAAGGTCACAGTGTTATGAAATGGTGGAGTTGTTATATCCTAAGGACTTTCTTAAAGGACAGGAACTAAACCATCCCAATGTGCAGTGAGGCCAACGATTAACACAAGAACCCCCAGAACCATTTCTTTCTTACACTATTAAATGCACACAAATATAGGAAAATGATTTTTAAAAAAACCCTCATATAAATGTAAGTTGAAGTACAGAGGGTAAAGAAGTGGAATGAATAAGAAAATACAACCCTAGGATTAACTTAGCTATCTATGGCGAGGAAGTGCTCAAAAACTCTTATGAGAAGCATTTGTAGTCAAAGCTATGCCTTCACCTACATATCACATCATATCTGTAATTGATGAAATAGTTTTAACTTCACAGATAGGAAATCAAGTTACCAGTGTATTTTATAGTAGATGATTCTGTTTGTCTCCAGTAACTCTTTTTTTCCTAAACGTTTCATTAGAGATCCCCATGATATTAGTTATATTATAAATCCCCACATCCTTAAATGTACTATGGAGTGTCTATTTAGTAACTAGGCAGAATGGACCATGGACCATGTCAGGTTGACCTTTCAATGTCTATCTAGGGAGAAAGGATAAGAAGCTATGTAAACGGCTGATGTCTGGAGGAAAACAGATTTCAAGGGCACCTTCAAGTTCACTACAGGAGGGCAGATCTAATTAGCCAGAAAGAGTTAAGGCAGCTGAGCTATACCACATTTTCTTTATTCATTCATCGAGTGATAGATATTTAGGTTGTTTCCATGTCTTGGCTATTGTGAAGAATGCTACAGTAAACCTGGAAGTGCGGACAGGTCTTCCAGATCCTCATTTCAATTCCTTTGGAAATATATGTATACCTAGAAATGGGATGATTAGATCAAATGGTAGTTTTATTTATAATTTTTTGAGGAAAATTAATACTATTTTTTATAGATGCTGTACCATTTTGCACTTTCACCAACAGTGTACAAGGGTTCTAATTTTTCCACATTTTTCACCAAATCTTATCTCTTGTTTTTTGATAAAAAGCCATTCTGATAGGTGTAAGGTAACAACGTGGGTATCATTGTGGCTTTGATTTGCTTTTTTTCTTTTTTTTTTTTTGAAACAGAGTCTCAATCTGCCTCCTTGGGTAAAGTGCTATGGCATCATCTAGCTCACAGCAACTTCAAACTCTGGGGCTCAAGCAATCCTCTTGCCTCAGCCCCTGAAATATCTGGGATTATCAGCATGTGCCATCATACCTGGTTAGTTTTCTATATTTTTAAGTCTGACTCTTGCTCAGGCTGGTCTTGCACTGCTGAACTCAAGGGATCCTCCTGTTGTGTACTCCCAGAGTGCTAAGGGTATAGACAAGAGCCAGTGTTGATTTGCATTTTCCTTAGAATTGACAACGTTAAGAATATTTTCATATAAAGTTATCCATTTGCATATCTTTTTTGAAGAACTGTCTATTCAAATCATTTGATTGATTTTTCATTGGCATATTTGGGTTTTTTGCTGTTGAGCTGTAGGAGTTCTGTATGTGTGTTGGATGTTAACCTCTTATCGGAAATGTGCTTTACAAATATTTTCTCTCATTTATTCCATAGGTTGCATTTTAATTCTGTTGATTTTGAGTTTGATATAGTCCCATCTTGTTTATTTCTGCTTTTGTTGCTTGTGCTTTTCAGGTCGTATTTGAGAAATCATTGCCTAGATCAATGTCATAAGTTTTTCCCTTACGTTTTCTTCTAAGAGTTTTACATTGTCAAGTCTTATTTAAGCCTTTAATCCATTTTGGGTTGATATTGTATGTGATATGTTTAACAGTTTGATTTACAGGGGAGAGGTGACTAAAAATAATATGTAAGATTATTTTCTTTAAAAATACAAAACTTGAAAATGATAATTTTTAAATAAAGAGATCTTTTTTATTCTCTTTTCCCCAAGTTATTTAACATTGTTTATAGATTCTGCTTTGAGCTATACACCGTACAGATGTCATATGCACACACAGTTCCTTCACTCTTAAGAGTTTACATCTGTGAGTTCTGTTAGTTTCCATCAGTCTACCTAAAACTTCTAAAATTTTCCTAGAGCAAATATTTGGTACTGTCTATACATCTAAACTTTACTGGGCATTTCAATCTCTGGTGATCTTGTTAAAATTCAGAATTTGATTCTGTCAGTTTATGTAGGGCCTGCGATTCTACATTTTTTTTCTTTTTAATTACTATGGGTATGTAATAGTTGTATATCTTTGTAGGTTATTTAAAAGAGACACAAAGGAGCTTTAAGGGGAGGTAGGAGAAAAACCTAGCCTGCTGAACCAGTAAGTCTGGAGGGCCCATAAGAATACACATACGAAATAACCTAGGTAACCAATGACCAATAAAAACAATCAATGACTAATAGAAAAATACTGCCTGGAGGCA